ACTCGTAATCTTGTGTGGATGCATGACTGAATGCCTACAGTCAGGATGCATCCAGTAAAACTGAGGTTAGTATCAATGTTGAGGACATGCAGAACTGTTTATTTTGAGGATTTATTTACCTCTGCATAGTCATATGCTTCTAACATACATGAGAAGATAAGCTCTAATAAATGATCTCAATCAATCACTAAGTATTAGCTGTGTAATGATTCATACTCACAGAAAATCTCCTTGATAGAAACTAGGTAACACTCGTACCTTCTATGATGACAAGAAAATGTGGCAACGCGATATGAACTCCATCTACTGTAAAAAGTTCCCTGTGGTTGTGCCTAAATGCATGTGCAAGATGTAGGCCCATTTTTCAACATCGAATGTTATTCTTGTTTTCTCAGTACTAACAATGTATCCATGACCGGTTTTCGACAACTGTTGTTTTTGCCTCTACCATAGTTTTATGAGAAGGTAAACCGATACCGTTCAAGAGTGAATATACGACACTTGAAAATAAGTAAGTGTTTGCTTTATATATATATATATATATATATATATAGTTATGAGCACTTGTAAGCACTTATAACAACTTCCCCAAAATATGAGCATTTACTCTGACTAATAACTAAATACAACCGCAGAGGTTCGCTCAGTTGGGAAACAAAATAATTTTCAATACTTTCAAAAGATAATTAAGGAATGAAAGTCTATTCACAGGCACCATAAACGAAGGTATTACATCGGTTTACGAATTCCGTGGAAATATTACCTTGTATACGTAAATTACTTTATTTTGACAGCACATTTGGGTAACTACTAGTAAAATTTGCAGTGCAAAATAACGCAAACCCTCACCAAGGTTACAAAGGGTCTAGGGCGCTGCGTTCTCTGCGTTTTTAGTGAGCTGCTTCGAAAAACAGTATATATTCATTCATAAATAATTCCTTAGGTGAATAAACATGCACGTGGTAAATATTAAGCAAGGTAATCCTCAACTTGTAAATTGTTTATCCACATTGAGTTAGCCGTGAATCTGTCATTTAGTCGGAACATGAATATTGGAAAAGTGATGAGATACACAAAACACACAGGTAGCACACCAGCCTAACCAATACATTTCAAAAGAACAACAGATCAATCATTAGACTAATGATCGGAGTCCGTAATGTGTTTCAAATCTAATATGTAAACACGATAAAAGCTAACAAAGTGTGGCTTTAAATGTTTGTAGGCAGCGAATACATTTCAGGCATTAGTTTGAAACTTGCGAAAACCCAGTTACTATGTTCATAGTAGTGGTATTATCTCATGCTTCACTATGATGATTAGGAGTATTTGAATTATGGTACTAAATAAGAATCTCAGAAATAACGCAATTGAATCAAGAAGTACTACACAAGATCTAACGTATGTACTGTATTTGAAATTCGAAATCAAGCATTTGTAGTGACCTACTTTTGTCAACAGAACGCGATTGGTTCAATGAAAATAATAATAATTATTATTATAACCAATTGTACCAGTGATTGTTTTACTGTTGTCGTTTGTTTAACTATGCCAATGACAGCCATCACACTCACTCTCCCGTTGACTTTGAACTTGTACGAATTCGGTTACGCTTAGTAACCACGCTTGTACTCCTTTGGCACGATCTCGGTATTCTTTCGATATCACGAGATCGCCAACAAATACATCTCGACTACAGCCATCATCTGCCTTCTGATATTGGCCTACGGGGATCTTATTGGTTAATTGGCACGTAGTCTTCTTGTAGTGGTGTTCATAGTCAATAGCGACTCGACTCCACGCTACACATTCAACAAATACAAAGGGATCAGTAGTTCACTCAAACACCACATTCACACACATAAGAAGTCATTGAGAAGCATAATTTACCTATTTTTTGTTCACATGAATTTGTTCTTTGTTTTTAATTTGGTTAGTGGCTGCAGACGTTGCTTGCAGAAATCCATTCTTAGTCTCTACAATATATATGTGATAAGTGTGTACCTAACGACGACATAGTTGAGTTACCGTGTTCAAGACAAACAACCATCATCACATTTATGTAGAAGATGTGACTTGTTCAATTGACATGTACAACGACGTTATATACAGTTGATATCTGTGTTCAGGAAACGATAAGGAAAAGTTATCAGTATTATTTATTACTCATGTAATTATTGATTGTTAGAATTACTTGAGGTTGTACGCTTGAAACTGACATGATGTTTGAAAATAATTAAACACACAATCACCTCAACCTGAATTAACTCAATAACTACTAGACATTGATGTCCATCAACATAATCTAAAGTGATGAATCATAGTTAAGAGGTTGGCAGAAACCATTTTTGTTAAAGTTTTAGTGTTACGGTATTGCTGACTTGATCAGAAATGATTTTTGTTTGTTTTAGTTCTGGATGTTACGAATAACCAGATTGAAGTTGATTTAACATTCTTCCAGATATTGAACAACAACTTTGTCAGAGTACCAATTGTTATAAAAGCTATATAGCAGGTGGAACCATTGAAAATTGTCACGAAGGGGCAAAAACACTGCCCAAGGATGAAAAACGATGACTCTCAACCACTTGATAATACTTATAACTTGTACTCAAGATACACTTCGGTTTACCTACCATGTCATCGTGAATTGATGCGAATGCTTGATCGTGTAGCAGTAAATAAATCCCCAAAACAAATACCTCTGTAAGTTTTCGACATTGGATGCTGACCACATTAGTTTTAATGGACTCATCTAGCTTAAGGCGCTCGGTCATGCATCCGCACCAGGTCACGTGTGGGAACGCCGTGCTCAACATCTACTGCAATCGCTAGCCAGATTGGATCAGACGATCCTCGATATATTGATAGTTTATCAAGTTTATCTTCGAACCTCCTCGCTTCTGTCTTTTGATTTCACTTGGTGGGTACGATTCGTATAAGAAGGTGTTACTGGTTAAAGCGTTGTCAAACTCCGAATACCTGTGGCATCTTCACTGGTGAGCCCGACGTGATCTGGTACACTGTATCCTTGAAATCAAAAAATCTTCTAATCTCGAGGTTTTTTCAGTCAAAGAAAAGCCTCAAACGACTCAGAATCACATTACAAAGTTATGTCATACACTTACACGTTATCTTAAATTTCCTAACGAACGTAAACGGTCACATCCCCCATGAAGAAGCACTTCACGTAGGCGATTTGTCTCTAGACCGCGAGAGATTGATAACCCCGACTGGTGCTGGTATCATAACCAGCATGGAAAGTATTCCAGCAATTGCAGAAAACCCAGCAATTTTCCCAACCCAAAATCGATCGACACGATAAACGATTCAGAAAAGTTCCCAGCCGGCACACGTTAACGGCAACTGTAGCCGGTGAACATAGCCGTCTATTATACGTCACAGATGTGATAACGAGAGTTCGCTACCTGGCGCAGAAATTAGCGTTCTCCCAGCGAATTCCAACGACCGGCCTCACGAATCGGTTTTAATCTGCAGGCAGCAAACGAAAAGCCTATCGCTACGTATGGCAAAAGGTACGTTTACCTCGACGTGGTTTTACCAAAATCCATTCACTGAATCTTTGTTTTTGCAGATGTTTCTATGCCAATCATTGGTAGGGACATCCTACAGCACCACAATTTAATCATTGATGCGCGCCAACGGAGGCTAGTAGACGCAAATACTAATTTATCTGTTTGCGTAACCTCTTTTTCTGGTTGCAGATCATCTTCAGTCACAATTAAGCACACGACAGACCCATTCTATCGACCACTTTCCGATAAGTATTCTGGCATATACCAATCGCAACTGAAATTGCGTGTGTAACCAGCAACGTTACACATCACATCACGACTACAGGACCACCTGTCTTCTCGAAAGCACGCCGACTGACTCCCGAAAAGTTTAGGTTGGCGAAAAACGAATTCGACCACATGATAAACTCAGGTATCACAAGACCGTGAAACAGCCCATGGGCATCTCCGTTGCACATGGTCCCTAAAAAGGACAGCAACGATTGGCGTCCAAATGGTGACTATCGGCGATTGAATGCAAAAACCAAACCCTGATCGTTACTCGTTGCCTCACATTCACGATTTTACAGCTACTTTGAAAGGTACAACTGTCTTTTCGAAAATCGACTTGGTTAACGCGTATAACCAAAGCCCTATGGCTACTATTATAACTCCCTTCGGACTCTACGAATTTTCGCGAATGCCTTTCGGCCCAAGTAACGCTGCACGTATCTACCAAAAGTTCAAAGACGACGTTTTTCGAGGTCTCAAATTCATACATGCGTATGTTGACGACTGTCTAATAGCAAGTCTGGACAGAGAATCTCAGCTCCAGTATTTGGATCTTGTTTTCGACCGACTACAAAAACGTGGGAATACTATAAACATTCAGAAATGCCGAATCGGAACCGACTCCTTAAACTTCCTAAGACACACCATCGGTGAGCAAGGCATCCGACCCCTTAGAACAAGTGTTGCGGCCATTCTGGATTACCCTGAACCGACCACCATCAAGCAATCACTCATGTTTAACGGCCTTGTAGGTTTCTATAGGTGGTTCATACAGAAATGCGCGTCACTTATAATACCGGTAACCGACCAACTTAGTGAAAATGCGAAACCCATCAATCTGGACGACATCGCGCTGAAGCAATAATGCTTGCTCATCAGGACACTGAAGCACCCATTGGTATTGCAGTAAACGCATCCGTTTCAGCAATCGAAGGAGTCTAATGTTGCAAGTGTCAGTGTCGTTAAGTCACGAAACTGTCCAATTTGGAAACTTGTTCGACCCTTCACAACTTTTCACATGATTATTCATAACTGAAAAGGCAAATCTTTAAAATATGTATAAAAATTACTCGTTTCAGTTGAACTACGGGTTAGAAATCGCTTTAATATAGTCGAATTTTGCTTAAACCTTGAACAATCGAGATGGTAGTGTAAAGAATCTAAGTGCTCATGCTAGTTTGTCACAGGGGTATTGGACATTGAAGAAATATCTGACCTTCGTAACAACATCAAGGTTACTTGACATCGGTTTTATGGGTTTGGTGTTAGTCAGAAATGTACTGTAGAAGTATGCGCCCTGTGAGTCGTTCTTTTCACAGAAGCGGCAACGTAGTTGGTATGGGGTTATTGAGGTCTAAAGGGATGGTTATACTGGCTGGTAATTCTCACCCTGAGTTAGTTAAGGCTGTTTGTCACCATCTTGACGTTCGTCCTGGGAACTGTTCAGTATTTTTCCGATCAAGTCGCGAGACGGATGTTGAGATTAAAGAAACTGTCAGGGGTAGTGTTATTTCTTTGTTTTTCCTAATACTTAGGCCGAGATGTTTATATTATACAATCTGGAACTAAGGATGTCAACAATGACATTATGGAGCTATTGATTATTGCCTATGCATGCAGATCAGCTTGCGCTCGTAAAGTCATTGCAGTAGTACCGTACTTACCTTACTCAACACAAAGCAAAAGAAGAAAGCGTGGCCCTATCACCAGTAAACTTGTAGCCAAAATGCTCTGCGCTTCAGGAATTAACCATTTGATCACTTTGGACCTTCACTCAAAAGAGATTCAGGTAAAAGTTTGACTGACCATAGGATTTTACTGTTTTAAAACAAAATATTTCAGGTTTCAAGAGTATTTCAGTGTTAGTGTTATCATTTATTAGAATGGTTAACTAGGTGTTTTGTTAATAGGTAGATTTTGATGGAATTTTGTTCTCTAAGCTGAATGGTTTGGTTGTGGAGCCTTCGTCGTTCTTCTAAATGACATCACCAACACAAACTTCCATCAAAATCATCCACTTGAGCTACAAATCTCCACCATCTTAATAGGTAGGTTTTTCCGTCCACAATCGACTATGGTTACTGAGTCATTGGGATATATTTATTTTGGATTTTATCTGCAACCTAACTATTTTTCACATAAGTGGTCTGTCTGTCAGGTACTTAAGGAGTGTCCACGCAATAAAGAGGTAATAGATTACTTCAAAATGTTAAACTGATTGAGGCATATCTAACAAGCTAACTTGTATCCATACCGACGTCAAAGCTTATTTTTCGTGTTAAACTAACACCATAATTATCTTTGAAATCTCAATATGCAGTGTAAGAAGTATCCATATAAAAGGTTTGACACGATAGGTGTTGCCTTCTTAACGTATAGAGAATAGGCTAACCCATCATGAGGTTTAATCCTGTTCCTTGTAGTACTAAGAAACCCTGGAAAACATACTGGTTCCATCTAGCTATCAAAAAGGTTGAAGTTCGGTGGGAACTTTTGGATGATACTTCTAGTTTTAGATTATATAGTTGAACTTACAATTTATTAAAAATTGGTTTTCATTTTTCTGTTTTAAATGTTAAATAGAAGTGCAAGTGTTTTTAATAAGTGGATGAAATCAGCACTCCTATTACTTTATAGTTTATTAAAGACTTGCACTCTGTGAATTTGAGTGGTTCCACATAGTTCTTATTTTGAGTCAATTCGTAGCTATTTTTACTACTGCCCATCACTAATTATTCACAATGTTATCTATTTGTTTACTATCCTCAGGGGTTTTTCGATGTTCCGATTGACAATTTACGTGCTTCTCCGTTTTTGACAAAGTACATTGAAACATACATAACTGATTATCGAAATGCAGTTATTGTTGCTCGAAATCCCGGAGTAGTACCTCGAGCTAGCAGTTATGCTGAACGTTTGAGGTTACCACTAGTTGTTATTCATGGCGAAGAAAGAGATGAAAGTGACAATACTGACGGTCGCAATTCCCCACCTTTGGATCAAAGTATTGTGGAAAAGAGGTTTGTTATGCAAGCATTTGCTTCTTCATTTTAATATTTTTAACTATGCCGAAATATTCAGAAATCCTACTAATAACTTATCCTTTATATGATACATGTTCATTTGTCTTTATAAAGTGGAGATTTAAATAAAACTATGGTGTTATGCAATGAATATATAAAGGCAAATGAACCTCATGTTTACAGTTAAGCGAATTCAGATAATTTCGAAGCATTTACGTATTTTCATTACTAGCATAGAATTGGTCTTTTTTTCCAAAAACCTATGTGAACACTTTAGAATAGTCAGAAAAATATGGTTTCACTAGGGCGGAAAATGTGTTATAACTAACCATCTCACCAGAATAGTTGTCGAATGTGACCAATAAGAGATCCACAGACAATGCGACAGACTTGTGCACCATTTATTTTCAAAAAATTATCAATTGCTGGTTAAAGTACCTTTGTTCAGATGTTTTTACTAAGAACGACATCGAATAATCAATAGACATAAAGTCCGTGGTGTGAACTCAGCTGATATCCGAGTTCTATTTTAACGTGAACTATCCCTACTCCTTGTAAAATGGTTTTAGTTGGTTTCTGATCCTTTTTTGGATAGCATTTTCAAATTAAACAGGTGTAAACAGTTTTAAGTGGCTGAATAATAAAATATACCGATAGAGTAACTGCAAACATGAGTTTTATGCATGTTTACTAAGATGTTATACTCAGGAACTTACTCGGGTTGACCCACGCGTTTAAAGGAAAGCAATCGAGTGGTTAACTCTGCTGAAGATTGACTTACAGGAGTTCTATAATCTATAATGGGACTTAGTCCACAAGATATCAAAGTGAATACACAATTGATTTGGCACTAGTCAACCTGACGTTCTGGTGTATTATTTTAATGCCTATTATGTGTTGATTATGTAGCTCATTTACGTTCTGTATCCTGTCTTATACTTGTAATACGTGGTGAAACGGACCATTTAGATTAAATCCGTTGGTTGAATGTCTCCCAAAATAATAACCCCAGCTATAAATAAGTATGAAGTAGATTTTGAGCTGCCAAAATATACATCTAAGCTTCAGGTTTTGTTTTTCAATCATCCAATCCCAAACTTATACCCTTTTCAGCCGTATTATTTATAGCACAAGAATGATTATCGTATTAGGATCCTGCAAGATCTTTTTCACAAAATGAAGTGACTGTAAAGTGGTAAAAGAGCGAAATCACACGATAATCTGAATATATAAAATAAAGGATACATATTACATTTAACACACTGAATAAATTTAGTGTTTTTACCATCTGTAGATCTACACACGTTGGCCTTGAACTTTTACCTATGATGATACCTAAAGCTAAACCACCTTTAACCTTGGTTGGAGATGTGAATTCAAGAATCGCTATTATAATTGACGATATTATAGATGACGTATCAAAGTTTGTTACTGCTGCTGAGCTACTGCGTGAACGAGGTGCATATAAAGTAAGTTCTTATTACAGTTGACCAATGTTTATTGAAGGCCAAAGCCTTACAGTTATGGCGGCTATTATTTATTCTCATTAAAAGTAATTTTATAAGCTAATTTATCGATTTGCTAGGCATTATATGTTTTAATTTTCAAGTAGGGGTTACAATGTTTTAGTCTTTTAAGTGTTTTTAATTTCATCCACAAAGGGAAATTTAAACGTTAGCGAACTTTAATAACTATCGTAAGATATATTTGTTAGTTTGTATTGGGACGAAACGAGTTATGACTTTTGGGATTATTCAGATTACCATTATCATTATTTTCACTGTGGGTTTATTAAATGACTGAACTACTTTGTTTATATTACCTTTTTAAGGGATTTCTTCGATTTTATCAACTATCGTTACACGTTTTGTTATTCCTTAACTTATCAGACGTCGTTTATTCCATCCTCTGACACTTATGGGATGTTTATATGTAAACAATGATTTCTTAATTGAGGTGTTTTCCGGTCTGATAATCATGTATGTGAACTAATGAGTGTTTGGGATAAATATATTGGGTGCTTAAAGCATAGATAAAAGCTTGTCTGTTGTCTTTTTTATTAGACTCAGGACGAGTGTGTATCGGTGGGCAAATAGAAGTTAATATTACGTCGGCCTCAACTCAAGATTAGTCGTGCCAGTCTAAGCGTTTAACTGATCAAAGCTTAGGAAGCTAAATTATAGATGAGTTAGTAAACACACATTAGAAAAATTAACCAGGATCCTGTTTATCGAGTCTTTTCAAGATGTCGACCACATTTTTTTATATCAGTGTTCGTCATATTTCCAATATAGTCAGGGAGTATTGCTAACTACATAACTACTTAAAGTCAACTTATCTCCCTTTTATGTGTGACATTGTACAATAAAAAATGTTTCACTACACAATAATTCTAACTAGCATACTTATATACAACGTAACTTTTACTTTTCTTGATCAGACCAGTTCTAGATTACTCTTAACAAAACGACGATTTATCAGGCATTTAAATTTCGACCTTTGGTGTTTATTAGCTAGATCAATCATTCTGTCAGAATCAACGTAAGATCGAACACAAATGTACCTCAGACCAAGTTATCATTCTACGTCAGCACGATGAGATGAAATAAACTAGGTTAATATCAATGGTGTAGAAATAATTGTATTCTCAACGGTAGTGAGGAAGACTAACCACTGAAAATATAGTACCCTACGTTTAGCCTCAGTATTACTTAATCGGCCTAACCACTATACTGGAGCATAAGTGCGAAAATGCCTGTGACAAAAAATCACTATATACATGTCGTCTTTCGTGTGCCATGCTTTACCTCCATCAAACAATACAAAGCGGACTTCTGCACATTATATTCAAGTAACAAGTCAAAATCACAGCAGTTATCAGAAAACAAGTCGGTAAATTTCTTGGCATTATGAACAGGTCATACTTGTTTTTGATCTGGCACTTTTGATAGATCAGTTGATAGAATTGTTAGCATTCATCGACCTAGATGATCCGTATGTAATACGTATGCCCGATCACTACCTGGCTCTCTAGATGCTAAAAGTTAATCGAAACTCTGGGTGAAATAACTGTCTTGTTCATTTATTTCATGAAATCGCGAAGGTTCTTAACAAATTAGACTGAGGAATTTATGAACAAGGTCCTCTCTTGTTTTTCCTGCTTTGTGCAGTTCAACTGGAGAATGTTTATCTACTAAAATTATTTTATTGTCATTTGTAGATATTTGTTATTGCAACTCATGGTCTGCTCAGTTTAGATGCACCACGTCTATTGGAAGAAAGTCGTATAGATGAAGTAGTTGTAACTAACACAGTACCACATGAAGTACAAAAAATGCAATGTCACAAAATTCGTACCGTTGATATAAGTCCATTATTGGCAGAAGCTATCAGACGTATTTATAATGATGAATCTATGTCTTATCTTTTTATGAATGTACCTAAAGACGATTAAATCTCTTCTTTTCTTTTCACATTTGTTAGGAAAAAGACGGCCTTAAATTATTTATTATTTAAATACTAATTTGTTTAAATTGTAAAATAACAGAATTAATATTCTAATTTATTTACTTATCGTATTTACAATCAGTAATTCTTTTGTACCGTTAATTAAATAATTCCTGTACTCGTAGTTAAGTTTTCGTTCTCCTTATGTGGAAATTGTACATATTTAGCACACGTTATGGTGAGTACTGGTGATCTAGTTCAACACTAAAATTGTACTGGTTGTGTTCTTTCACAAAAGCTTCTTCTCTTAATCAATCCTAACGTCATAGTTCGCTTATACTGTCCTATGAATAAAGTTGGCATTCTAAACATTGTGTTATTTTGGCTATATCTTATGTGCAACAACAACTTCTGATGCTAATAAATTATTATCAAGTAGTGGAGTTACTCCTGTGCTATAGAGGAATATGTAAGATATCTATTCGATTTGGTTTTCTCTGCTTGGTCGGTTGTTGATTGAGAACCGGGAAAGTGGTTAGATAAGCAGCTGATGATGTATGTTAATGAATCAAGTTGCTACCTCCATGGCCAGCCAGGCACCTAGTCAAATACCTTCATCAAGCAAACTGTTTTGATTTAATGCAAATGTATGCTTTTGATGTATATACCAGTAGGTATTGAGGTTAGTTGCTATGATGATCAGTGGCAAATTAACAGATGACTTGACTTTCAATTGTTATTATTATTATTTGAACACATAAGTATTGGTACAAGGGGGAACCAAATATATATGCGCCACACAAACAATGAGAATTTAAAGAGTAGGGAAAAAAGAAAGGAGGGTAAGGAGCGTAAGAAAAGAACAATAACGAACAGATTAGTGTAAGATGGTGTAATAGTAGTAATAATGGGGGAAACGAAAAGGTACAATCAGAAGAAATCTTTCAGTATGGAAGAAGCAACCGCTTTTAACGAAGAAAGTAAAAGAAGGTTACAGCAGGATCGCCACTGGCTTCTTTTCTGAGCTATATCTGATAACGTTTCTAGCCACTGTGTTACACTATCTCTCGGACCCCAGCCAGAGTCGTGAAGGACCAACACAAGCCAGCCCTTTGTAGCTTTCTTTCATACCACGACACCATGTCATATACTGACCACCTCCGCTTTTTCCAACCAGTCCCAGAGTCGGCAAATAATGCACGACGTGGAATTCTCTGGGACGACATTCGTAGAACATGTCCAAGCCACCGAAGTCGGTGTTTCAAGATGGTGACACCAATTGCGTTATCGTCTTGTAGAAGTACTTTGCACTTCGAAGGTGAAAAGCACATACCATACCTACGGACATTGATTGGCAACTGATTAATTGCGGATCGCATAGCTTGGGCATTCTCGCACAGTAGAACAACATCATCCACATACTCAAGGTCGAGAAGTCTTTCTCCAGGCAACAGATCCACACCACCATTACTTACATCCATCAGAGCTGTTTCCAGAATGTCATCGATGGCAAAGTTGAAGAGGAGTAGTGAGATTGGGCAACCCTGTGTAACCCCACTGCTTGAATGGAATAATGGAGAAAGGTGGTTGTATGCCTTCACTCTGCCTGAGGTGTTTGTATATTGGGCTTTTAGGATGGTGCTTAGACAACTAAGTGTCAATAGACACCGTTTTACCTCGGTTTCGTCAACCGCTCATTATTTCAGTAAAATGTCTTAAAAGAAAAAATCCGTTTTCCTTATCACATTTTATTGATTCCAAATTTTTGTGAATGCACTGTATTGAAAGCTCAGTTTTCAACATCAGCTATGATGTAACTAGCATAACCCTAACAAGGAAAATTTCTACATCCTGTACGTCAAATGTTTTGATTGAATTATGCTACCTAATGATGATCTGCAAAGTCGATGTAAAGAAAAACAGAGAAAGTCATCAACAAAATAAAAGTTTCGAAAAGAAATCACTTGACTAAAGAAAATTGAAAAAAAACATCTGAAATAAACAGAATGTATTTCATAATGATTTTGCACAAACTAGAACTAAAATGCAATTAAATATACAACTTTAATCCATATGATTATATGACGAATACAGCTTTTCTCAAGTTTGTATAATCTCTAATTTCCTCAATTGTAAGCAGGACATGTAATAATTCCATCGTATCCAGCCTGACTGTAGTTCCTATGAACACAAAAATAAGTTGCAATGGCTTATCTTTTGTAAGGCATAGCATCAAACAAATTTGGCGCTTACATCAAAGTAGGAATGATCGCAGAATTCTTACGAAATCTGATATGCGGCGAAAGTGCATCAGTGTTCCATGAAGGTTAATGGTTGAGCTTTAACTGAGTCAATCAATTTTTGGGTTGTATGATCTTAAACTCGGTGATTAAAACTTTTCCTCAGCTAGCACCTTTAACGTCAGTAAATATATATATATATATATCAGAAGAACTCCGCCTGGAGTCCCTTTCGGGGGGCTACTGCCGGTCCCAAGCCCGGATAAAGGAGGAGGGTTGGGCATGGGGTTAGCGACCCCATCCCGTAGAAAACTAACTCGCTAAAAAAACGCTAACCAGAAATAATTATTCAAACCATTTAAACTCTGCTCTGGGAGTCAGGAGGTCTCCGTTTAGAAGAATTATGACGCCTCATGATGAAAGCCGAGTTTCTTCAGAAGTCACGAGGCCGATGCCCCTTCTGACAACCAGAGCAACCATTTATTTAGGTACATGGAATGCTCGCACAATGTGGGAGACTGGGAGAGTTTTCCAAATTGCTGCAGAAATGAGGAGATACAATTTGGAGGTGCTTGGGATCAGTGAAACACATTGGACGCAAGTTGGACAACAACTAGTTTCAGGGGAGCTGCTGTTATACTCCGGATATGAACAAGAAAATGCTCCACATACACAAGGAGTTGCATTGATGCTGTCCAAACAAGCACAAAATGCACTTATAGGATGGGAATCTCATGGACCAAGGATCATCAAAGCCTCCTTCAAAACAAAGAAAACGGGGATTACAATGAACTTCATCCAATGCTACGCGCCTACCAATGACTACAATGAAGACGCTAAATATCAATTCTACGATAGGCTGCAGTCAATCGTCGAGAAGTGCCCAACAAAAGACCTGACTATTCTGATGGGAGACCTAAATGCCAAGGTTGGAATTGACAACACCGGATATGAAGAGATCATGGGACGACACGGACTGGGAGAAAGCAACGAAAATGGTGAGAGATTTGCAAATCTATGTGCCTTCAATAAACTGGTCATAGGCGGGACTATATTCCCACATAAACGCATACACAAAACCACATGGACTTCACCGGATCACAGCACATAGAACCAAATCGACCATATCTGCATCAACATAAAGTTCTGGAGGACGTGAGAACAAAGAGAGGAGCTGATATAGCATCAGATCATCACTTGCTGGTCGCCAAGATGAAATTGAAACTCAAGAGGCACTGGACAACGGGGCGGACAATATCACAAAAATGTAATACGTCTCTTCTTCGGGATAATGACAAACTCAATAAATTCAAGATAACCCTTAGCAATAAGTTCCAAGCCTTTCATGATCTACTCAATGGAGAAGGAACTACTATGGAGAGCAACTGGAAAGAGATAAAAGAGGCAATCACTTCAACATGTCATGAGGTTCTGGGCCAAAAGAAGCACCATCACAAGGATTGGATCACGGTCGATACACTGGATAAGATTCAAGAAAGGAGGAACAAGAAAGCAGCAATCAATACCAGTCGAACAAGAGCAGAAAAAGTCAAGGCACAGGCTGAATACACAGAAGTAAACAAGCAAGTGAAAAGGAGCATCAGAGCTGACAAACGTAAATATGTGGAAGATTTAGCAATGAAGGCGGAAAAGGCTGTCAGAGAAGGAAATATGAGACAACTGTATGAAACAACAAAGAAACTCTCTGGAAATCACCGTAAACCAAAACGACCAGTGAAAAGCAAGGAAGGCAAGATAATCACCAACATTGAAGAACAACGAAACAGGTGGGTAGAACACTTCAAGGAGCTGTTAAATCGACCAGCCCCACTGAACCCACCCAACATCGAAGCAGCACTCATGGACCTCCCAATTGATGTTGGCGCACCGACAATTGAAGAAATCAGCATGGCTATCAGACAAATCAAGAGTGGCAAAGCAACAGGACTAGACAGCATTCCAGCAGAGGCACTGAAACAGACGTAGCGGCAACTGCAAGGATACTCCAAACTCTCTTCAGAAAGATCTGGGATGAGGAACAGGTACCAAAAGACTGGAAAGAAGGACTTCTAGTCAAAATACCAAAGAAAGGCGATCTCAGCAACTGTGATAACTACAGGGGCATTACTCTTATCTCAATACCAGGAAACGTCTTCAACAGGGTATTGTTAAACAGGATGAAGGACTCCATAGACGCACAACTTCACGACCAACAGGCAGGATTCCGTAAGGATAGATCGTGCACAGACCAAATCGCAACTCTACGGATCATTGTGGAACAATCAATTGAATGGAATTCATCACTCTATATCAACTTCATCGACTACGAAAAAGCATTTGATAGCGTGGACAGAACAAACCTATGGAAGCTTCTTTGACACTACGGCGTGCCTGAGAAGATAGTCAATATCATACAGAATTCCTATGATGGATTAAACTGCAAAATCGTGCATGGAGGACAGTTGACAAAGTCGTTCGAAGTAAAGACCGGTATCAGGCAAGGTTGCTTACTCTCACCCTTTCTCTTTCTCCTGGTGATTGACTGGATCATGAAGACATCAACATCTGAAGGGAAGCACGGGATACAGTGGATAGCTAGGATGCAATTGGATGATCTAGACTTCGCAGATGATCTGGCTCTTCTATTGCATACGCAACAACAAATGCAGGAGAAGACAACCAGTGTAGCTGCAGCCTCAGCAGCAATAGGTCTCAATATACACAAAGGGAAAAGCAAGATTCTTCGATACAACACAGCATGCACCAATCTAATCACAATTGACGGAGAAGCTTTGGAAGATGTAAAAACCTTTACATATTTGGGCAGTATCATCGATGAACACGGTGGATCTGATGCAGGTGTGAAGGCACGGATCGGCAAAGCAAGAGCAGCATATTTACAACTGAAGAATATCTGAAACTCAAAACAATTAGCAACTAACACCAAAGTCAGAATTTTCAATACAAACGTCAAGACAGTTCTACTGTTTGGGGCGGAAACCTGGAAAACTACGAAATCCATCGTCCAAAAGATACAGGTGTTTATTAACAGTTGTCTACGCAAAATACTTCAGATCCGCTGGCCGGACACTATAAGCAACAACCTACTGTGGGAGAGAACAAATCAGATCCCAGTGGAGGAAGAAATCAGGAAGAAGCGCTGGAAGTGGATAGGACACAAATTGAGGAAGGCACCGA